GAGTGGCCTTTGAATCAGGCCCCATATGTGTATATTTGAGTGTGTGATGTTTTAATTTTTTTTTCGGTTGCTTGTTTAAGGGTCGAGGTGGCTTTGCTGAAAGGAATGCGGCTTGTGGTCGGATGATCTGTGACGTGGAAATTTCAGCAAAGGAATTGATTCGTTGCAAGAGCTACCATTTATCTGAATTGGTCCATCAGATTCTGAAAGTGGAAAGGGTAACAATTCCACCAGAAGAGATAAGAAATATGTACAGGTATATTGCTCATTTTTGTACACAGTTGTGTTTTGAGGAATTTAGTTAGTCTGTATACATAATTTTGTACTTGTTTTATCAAGGAAATGTGGGCTTCAGTAGCAACATACCAATACTTTCAATGTTCTTCCTTTTCAAAATATTTTTAGAAACATTATTTCTCAGAACTCTGCTGCTTGTCACAGTTTAGGACATGCAAATAGAGCAGTGGTCCCCAACCTTTAGAGGCTGCCGGGCGCCAGGGGGCGTGGACACATGCCCCCCCGGGGGTGGACCCCCCATAGCCGCGTGCTTGGGGGCGGGACCCCCCCATAGCCGCGTGCCCGGTGCCGGGGGGGGCCCACGCCGCATGCTCAGGGCCAGGAGGGCCCCCCCCTGCAAGCGCCGCGCGCCCGGGGCTGGCGCCCCCCCAAGCACCGCGCGCCCGGGGCGCGAGCGGCCAATTTGCAGCGCTCCCGGGGCTGGCGCTTACCATGTGCCCGGGCCGGCTCTGGCACAGTGCATGCACCACGTGCCCGGGGCCAGGCCAGCCCCGAGCACTTGGTGGGCGCACACAAATGGCCCCACGGGCACCATGGCGCCTGCGGGCACCGTGTTGGGGACCACTGAAATAGAGAGATGCTGTGAAAAATGTTACTTCAGGTTCATTATTTATTCTTTTAATCTTGAATAATTATTTGAAGCTCAATGAGTTTGCTTCATAATTTGCAACGGGTAGACTGTAGAGCTATGAGAACCATGATAAAGAATTTAGGACTATTCTTTAGTAAAATTTATACTGACCTGTTTTATGTTCTAACTTTCCTTTTTTTCTTCCAAGTGATTCTTCTCACTTACTGTACATGCTAGAGAATACCTGGACAGATGCCAGGTTCATTCTGCAAATCATGTGTGAGCTGAATGTTCTCCCACTAGCACTGCAGATCACAAACATTTCTGGGAATGTTATGGTAACTTTTTTTTTCTTTCCTTTCATCTAAAAAGCAACTATTGCATTGTGTCTTCTGTTTTTGGATATGGTTAATACTTAGTCTGTCAGTGCTTGTAAAATATTTAATTATGCACTGTGAAGAGCATGCATCCTTTGTCCTTCAAAGAGATGAAAACTACTAGTTAGAGGATATTCAAATTTGAATGATATCTGAGATTTTTCCCTCTAACATTAACGAGTGTTTTTATATTCCTAAAGTATTTTAGGTGGAAATAGACAGATGGCCAAATCATGTGGTAAACTTCTCACAAACAATATTACATAAACCTGAAAATGGATATTTACTCTATAAAAGCAAGTAGCATATGTGAGAAGACTGTACATAGTTGAAACCTCCATCTTAATTCATTTTTGCACATTGGTATTTTGCTTTCTTTAGTTTGTTTTGAATTCTGTTTGTTTTTCCCTTTATAGTCAAGGACAATGATGGGTGGGCGATCGGAG